AAACCAGACTTCTCTCAAAGCAAAAGATGGGACAACAACAGTGATGATGCTCACATTCCAAACATGTATTTTAAACAACGTAGCTATCTTGCAAGATCCAGATATCATAGCTCTGTATTCACACACATGCTTGCACAAGTAGATCAACTGTGAAATGTCTATAGAATAAGACTCTGATCTCTCTAAGAACACTATGAACTATGAAAACTATGAAAAAAAATCTTTTGTTGGTAGTGAGAGAAGAAAACTTATAGATAGGGTTACAGTTACTGTGGATTCAACATTAAGAAGCCCTGAAAAAGAACTGTTCAGGAGTTTCAGTTTTTCCTATATGCATGCAGATAATTCATATTTTCCTTGTAATGGACATTAGATATTAGGTCATACATTCTAATAGTGACTGTGCATATGTAGAGTTAATACAGGCACTAAGCAGAGAAGTACCTAAAAATACTGTTAACAACCTTTCCTTTAGAATGCAAACACTGCCATCAAATACAACGTGGCAACACTTGAGATCAATGTGGATCTTAAAATATCACACACAAGCCATTCAAGTTTCTTAAGACAACAAAATTGGCAATAAAATATTAACTATGCCTTGTTGGTAAAAAAAGCTCATTTTCCAAATGTAGTTCTCCGTAAACGTAGAAAAACTGTCTTAACTATACCATAAGCTATTTATCTAAAATGCTACTGTCAGTGAAACAGATGTCATTGCACAATATCCTTGTGCCACCCACATTCTGTTCTTCTAGCTGCCAAACAGAATTGTTTTATTTCCTGAACCATCAGATTCAAGCATTTCTGCAGTGATCTCCATGCTACTTTAAAGAAAGTACTTAAAAACTGAAATGTAGTTTCACATGATGTTTTACTGCAACATAATATATTCAACGTATCTTCACCAGGACAGATAACAAGAAAAGACTGAAACCTTAGCAGAGGGTCAAAAAAATCTAATTTTTAAGAACTTTGAACATCAGCTTTTCCCATTTTCCTCTTCCAGTCTATCACACTCAATTTCAGGCTTCTGTTTTTAAACATCTTCATTCAGCTGAGGAAGATGTAAAATTAATTTAAAAGTTTCTATCTCAGTCCTAAAAAATCATCTTTGCAGGACAGCTACATAAAACTGAAAAATCATGGAAGGAACTTGTGGGGATATCTGGTAGTGGGATCATACTACCTATGGTGCGGCACATTCAGAGCAGCTCATAGGGCTCAGTGTCACTTGTCAGGGACCCATCTTGATCTGCATATGCCATATGGCATCCTACATTGTACAACTTAAAAACAATCTGCTTTTTGTCTTTTCATGTTGTCTTGCTTTTTCATCTATTCTCCTTTTTTTCATTCTTTTCACAGTGATCTCTGGCATTCCTCAGTATCAGGCTTCCTTGATGGTTACATGGGGCTATCCACACTTCAACTCTCCACAGTTCAAAAAGGACCTTGCCAATACACCCTATGAACTCTAAATGCATAAAGTTTGCAGTCTGTTCTCATCGGTGTCACAAAATTGTTCAGAAAATTCAAGTTACCAGATTTTCTCAACCTGGACCATTTAATAGTCCAGACTGTATTTGTTTGAAAGCTTGTGAAGGAAAATAGTGAGTACAATGAAATTCACATAGAGTACTCTGTCTACATTCACATTTGTACAAGTAACCAACATACTAAAGAAAATAAGATCAGAAAAATTAGCTACGTTCAAATAGTAACACTTTTCTAGTACAAAAAAAAATGTGCTTTAATTCTTAAAAATGGGAAAGGAATCTGAAAGGCATCTACAGACATACACATGCATTCTAGCAACCTCATGAATACATCTAGAGCAGGCGAAAGCTAAGTAGAAAAATCATTCATATCTAATATCTTTTCTCATGGGAAATACTGTCCTTCAGAATGCAAAACTTTCTTCAACCCTTCAAGACAACTGATAATAAAAGCACTCAACATTAAAACACATTTTAGTATCTTAAGAGGTTTTTCATCTGATCAGATTTTTACTCTTTGATACTTGTTTGCTAATAAGCCACCTAACCCTTCAACTATCCAGCTTTATGATGCCTTATTTAGACTTCTCAAATTTCTTGAGCTGCTTTCAGCTTACAACAGTCTTAACGATAAATACAACACACAAGTTTTTTTAGCAGAACATTTGCCAGTTTGGCAGCAGCAGAATCAACAACAGATAGGCAGAGGGAGCATTGGTTAGAGGAAAGAGAATTTTCTACACTCTCCTGAAATAAAATTATTCCAAGACACACTAACCCACCAGTTTCAGAGAGCTGCCTAGCAATTCTCTGCCCTAACTGGGGAAAAGAGAGTGAAAAAGCTTCTACGAAAAAGCCCCTGAGAGTGCAAATTATGTGTTTAGTATACCAACTTGATTATATACAATTTTATTTTGCATTGACAAAGCACACTCTTGATGACTTGGAAAAATCTAAGCTAACAGCTAACACTGTCAAAATTAAGCATCCTTTGCCACCAATAGCCAAGAGTACCACTTCTGTGATACTTAAAACCCTCAGTGTTTAGGAAATAAACACAGGTGTATTGCATTTGGTACTAAGCACCAGATCTCAAGACTATAAAAAGATTTTATCCTTTGCTTTAGACAGTAGCTTTTAAGCTAAAAAAACTAGGCATCTTTATCAGGCCTAGGATATGTGATAGGTTTTTTTCCTTGTGTTTTTTTTCTTTTGTTTAGTTTGTTTGCTTTTAATTTAAAAGCAAGAAAAACAATTGTCTAATAATAGTAAATAAATGAACACAGAACTTCACAGGGATTCTTTGCAAAGAACATAATCTGTAACATAATTCTTGCTATGAGAAAATCATGAGTTCATTCATCCCACTAAATTCTGTTCCACCGAAGCATAAAATAATTCATAATGACTTATAATTTCAAAATGCCAATGGAATATTCAAAAATATGTCTTTACGGCATGACTTAAAGAGGAAAACCATGGTCTGATACCTTCAGAAGCTGTTTTCACCAGGAAGCAGAAAATATTTATTAGCTAAATTGCAACAAAATTAGAGCATCTTTTATCTCCCTTTACCCCTAAATGATTTGTGAACACATTATTTTATTATTTTAATTAGCTTCAAGATAATTTAGGAAAAACATTTTCATGAAACATACGATGCAAAGCTTGTGTTTTTAGGAAAAGTAGCCAGTTTTCTGACTTTTTTCATCCCTATCTGAAATTGTGCACCTATATTATGAACAAACTCTAAGTAATTAAAATATGAAACCATGAGTGGTCCTAAAGGTATCTTTAAAAATCAAGTCCATCTAGAGTACTTCAAATATAAATAATGTTGAAAATGGCTTGCAAATTATTTATTCTTCTGTTCAGTTCAAAATAATTGAGCGTTTACTTTGGCATATAGCTACTCTACCTCACCCTACAGCCTGAACAACACGAGGCAGTTGCTTTTCATATTGATAATTGTTTAAGACCAGTTACAGATTTACATTTTCTGTCCAGTTTATGGACAGATGAAAGTGCATTAAATGGATGCTTCATATACCACAGTCTCCTAGCATTACACACATTTAGCACAAACTGTCAAAGTACTTACAATGCACTGTGAAATCTTACATTATTTAGAAACCAACTAACATAGTTAAAGGAGCCCTTCATTAACTACAGCAAGTACTTTGTTGGTGTTGACCTTTTTTTTCATTTACTTATAAAATCCCAACTGGGCATTTTGAGAAAGATAAAGACGAGCATGCTAATTTTTGAAAAAAAAAAAAAACAACAGAACAAAAGTGAAAAAAAATAAAGTTACAAGTAAGTGTTAAGCCCAATTAGAAAATAAAATAAATAAATGAGAATTTCTGGATTTTAATTTTGGTGGACTTGTTTTGTGTCTTGCCCTAAAACTGAATGCACCTGTCATAACTGCTAAAATATCCAGCTCTCTCTTCAAAAGTAGGCATATAGGCTTCCATGAGTCACAAACAAGTGGCCCTCTCTATAGTTATGTGGTCTGTTTATATGCTTGTGCATTTATATTGGTGGATTGTGTCTCTTCTGAACCCTTCATATAGGACTGCTAAACAAAAGAAACGAAACAGTGAACATCTAACTGCCTAATACTGCATATTACTGCATAATACAACCTTATCTGATGAATAACCCCAATGTCATATGAAAACGGGCAATTCAATTTTAGAATTAAGCATCCAATTACTACTACATACATATATACGTATTTATGAGTTCAACTTCATAGGTCCCTTAAATATTGCCTGCTTTAAAAAGAGAGATGGTTAAAAGATTATAATATTTGCTGAAGACCCATCAAGCCCTCTGTGTATAACTTTCATTCTCTACTTGAGGTGAAAAATTAGTTTGCATAGTTGGAAACACCATAAAGGGGAAACATCCTCCTTAAACAGAGGACCTATGAGTTTTGCCATTGTGGTCATTGTTTTTTGAGAAGTTTCTTTCATGTAATTGCCACTAATTACAGCAGGAAGTTATTATTTTATTATCATCATCGGTAGATGGAAAACGCATTTAAAAATACCTTTGTATACTGTTCTGAGTAATTTGGGAGTGTTTGAGTAAAAAAGTGCATTAAAAGTCTTTAAAAAACAAAATTTTGTCACAAGATTCTCTCCAGATATTGTTACTGCTTTATCCAAAAGCTTAGGGAAAAAAATAGTGGCTATATTTTGGACCTCATCAATGTGCCGAACTGCTGAGTAAAGGTTTGTGTCTTTTTGCTGGCATTTTTTTTCTTTCTTTCTGTGTGATTGGGATAATTCTGAAGCTAAATTGATTCCCTAGAAGGCTACTCTTGTTTTTTATTTTCAGTCCTGTCAGTTTTGACTAAACAAAAAGACATTTGAGCAAAACATGGAACTGTTTTATATTGGTTACTGTACTATATTAGGATCCTTATGATATCAAAGGGCTCAGCACTTACAAGGACATTATTACATATAATTCAATTAAAAATTGACCAACCTTTCCTTCAGCATCTGTTGTTACCTTCTCAACCTTGTTCCTGTTTAAAAATTTCTTCACCCATTCTTCTACTTGAACATTGAACTTCATGAAAGTCACATAGAAAAAATACGCTGTCAGGAGTGTTATGCTTTCCCACCACATTATGAAGTTATCCAGAAAAAAGATGATTAGCAAGATCAAGTCAATGATGTAAAAGGACATATCTCGAAAGAGTGGCCACCATGTAAGGTTCAAGATCTCTTTAGAAAATAAAGCACACATTCCAATAACAAATAGGATATTGAACACAGCAGATCCCACTATTGTACCAATGCCAACATTGCTGTGGGATATAAACACTCCTATTAAAGAAGTGAAGAGTTCTGGGGCTGACCCACCAGCAGCCATGAAGGTTGCCCCTGCCACATCATCAGAAATGGCCAGTTTTTCAGTGATGACAGTCAAGGAAGGAACAAAGAACTCATCACAGACTATGGCTAAGGCTATAAACATGTAAATCATTCCAATTATATGCAGGATCACTGCTCCCTGTCTTCTCTCCTCAAGAGAAAAAAGGTCTGTGGGATACTCTCCCTTTGAATGATCATCTGTTTCATTGTCATGCCCTGCTTCATATTTCATAGAAGCATGTGGATCTAGAGTGCCATTTTGATTCTGTTCGGTGAAATCCAACAGAGTTCTTTGGTGCCCACGCACCAGCTTTTGGCTATCTAGGCTGCTGACCAGTGCCATGCTATGTGGTTCCATCTTGAAAAAGGCACTCATTGAAAGCGATAAAGTACTAATGGCCACTACACTGACAAGAAGCCCTACAATTCGTATCAGTCTCAGTTTTTTCCAAACATTCTGGTGCCATCTGCAACCAAAGAGTGGTTCTTCCAAACACCATTCCTCCAAGACACCAGCAAGAGTTTTTTTCTGAAGAGCCATTTTGTGTGAGATGCCGAGGGAGTCAGATGAACTGTTCCTTCATACTTTTCTCCAGCTTTGAAGTTAGAGGTGCTTTAAGAGTCTTCCCAGAATCAAGTACTTTTACTCTTCGCAGGATGTATTTTCTTCATTAGTCTTAAAAGGACAAACATATTATTAATATTAGTTAAAAAGCATGTAATTAGAAGCTTCTAAAAGACTGAGTGAAATTTAAAATTTAAAGCAGAATATTACCAACTGTAGCATAAAGACCTGTCACATTCTACCAGACACAGTAATGACATTTTTGTTTAAGCAGTAACTGTGGATAAGTCTATCAATACTCTGATCATTTTATGCCTCTCATATGCCTATGAGCCACTGCCCTCCTCAGTTGCAGGCAAAAAAAAAATCCTAGTGGAAGGTAAAAACTGTCCACAGATGTTGCATAAAAATGAAGAAATTACTATTTTGATGGATAAACCAAAGATTATTACCTCATGTAATTACTTTCTACTACGATCATGTAATGTCCAAATCCCAAATGCAGGGGCAATAATGTTTGAGAAAAACAAGCAACATGCTAACAAGCATCTCATCAGACCTTTAGGCAGCTGAGGCAGCATTAATTGAAATATTATGTATGCACAGAGCAATAGTCATTGATATGTACATAAAACACAATGCCGTTGGAACGGGATCGAAATGCAGTGTCTTCAGCTCCTCTGTAAAATCAACTCAGGTTTATAGAGAACTCAACTTGCTTCTGATCAGACCTAGGTCATTAGCTTGGATCAGTCAAGACAAAATTTTCAATCACCCCTGGTTTTGTTTGAGTTTATGTCAGGCATTCAGCTATAAATGTAGGATGTTACTAAGAATACCTATGTGGTACCTTTAAAAAGTGCTCCTCTTATAGATCCTTAAGAAAATAGTTTAGATTTACAAAAGAGTTGATCCTGAAACAAATGAAATGGTGAGAAATTATGTGAGAATGACTATTCATGTATGCCAGAGATGAGCATACTGGATCAACAGCACTTCTAAAACAGAAAAAAACCCTCTAGACAATAACAAGTGCTTTGGTTATTGAACTGAAAGAATATCTGTAATGTAGAAATTAGTTACATATGCATCATGCTCAGTAGTGTGCATTTTATATGAAACAAAATATAAGATATTCTCTTAATAGAATTATTAGTCTTAGTATTATTGCCCAAAAAATACTTTGTTACATCTCTTATTCAAGTAATTTGTAGCAACAGCTGAATACTGAACAATCAGTAGAAGATTGATTTCGTATTCTCAAATGCAGGATTTCAGCTATTACATGCAGTTATTTCCATAAAAGTTATTAAGTAACTTGCAGTTTCTCCTGATTTTTTTTTCAAACAGTTTCCATACTAAGCAGATGTCATGAAGACATACTCCATCCTCAAGATACAGTGGAGATATTTTATTTTCCATCTCAGAGTTACTACTCGACGGACTGCCACAAAAACATTAAGCAGGAAAGTCACCGGAATGGCACCGTCGCTGCCGTGCGCAGCCGGCGGCGACGGGCCGGTGATCGCGCTTCCCTGACCATCACACGAATGGGGTACGGGAAAAGCGCACGGGCTCTCTCCTGCCCTGGAACTTGCACGGTCAGCCGTGCCAGACCGCTCCCGACACAGCGGACCCCAGACCCCGGTGGAGTGCAGCGCAGCATCCCGGCCGCCCCGCCTTCTCCATCGTCCCCCCGCAGAGATGCTGCAGACGCTCGCCTAACTCAGCCCAACTTCGCACCGATCCGCTCCGCACAAACTTTGTCCCCCTCTGAAAGGGCAGTGGGTCCACTTCCAAACGCGGAGAGCCCCGGAGACACCGACCGGGCGGCTCGGGGCACCGGTCACCCCTCGGCAACCGGTCCCGCCCATGGAGGCGGGAATTTGCGGCTGGGAGTCCCCGCATCGCCGCAGCCCAACCCCCGCCCGCGCACCCCGGCGGGGCTCACCCGGAGCTGCGCTGCGCTGCGCGCCGGCCCGCGGGCGCTGGGCAGGGGCGCGGGAACGAGCCGGGATGTGCACAGGGATCGGCGATCCGACCACGGTCCCTCGCGGCACCTACTGCGGCGGGCGGTGGCAGCGGGTCCGCCCCACGCAGGCGGGGCAGGCGGCGTCCCGCCCCCCGCCCGCCGCCCTCCCACGAGAGTTTGATCAGTGGCCAAGCAAGGCTGGCAAGGAATCTATTTTTTTTATCTTTTCACCTTCATCTTGGGTTAGCAGGTACGGTTTAACTTGGGTAAAATTCAGCGTTTCTAGCAAAGGTCATAAGCCTCAAGGAGTAAGGTAATTTTAAGGCCTTCTGATTAAAATATCCTTTATGCCAAATGTTTTCTGAAGGGAAATCAGGACGCGAAAGAAAAAGACATTTAGTTTTGGTTTTAATTTTAAGGAAGATGACATGCCCACGATAAAGTTATTAATCATGATTCATTTACTTCTGAACAGAGATTTCTTCAAACTACAGATCAAAGTCGCCACAGAGAACAATAAAGATGCACTGAACACACAAGAAAACAGGCTAAGTTCTTAGCCAGAACTGTCCCCTTCTATTTTGGTCTTCATCTTTCAACATTATTATTTCTCCAAGAAACGGTGTTTCATTTAGTAATTGCTTCAAAATTCACAAGCATTGAAACTGTTACAATGCAGCTCTATCATAGGTAATTCCCATGCTGTAGATCAGTTAAGAGTTACACAGGTGATGCTTTTTGAAATCATATTTGCACTTATCCTCTGTACTGTTGTTAGAAAAACCTTCATGGTAATTTGTGAATAAAACAAAGTAATCTGGTGCACCTGAAGTCTGGAAACATGGGGGCCAAACACTCCATGCTAAATTTCACAAGTTTGTGGTGCGCTGTTGGGAACTAGGCAAACTACCATCAGACCTTCGTGATGCAGTCATCATCACCTTGTATAAGAAGAAAGGAATTAAATCAGACTGTTCAAATTACCGTGGTATTACTCTGCTCTCCATTGCTGGCAAAATCCTGGCAAGAATACTCTTGAACAGACTAATACCCGCTATAGCAGAAGGAATTCTAGCTGAAAGTCAGTGTGGTTTCAGAGCCAACAGGAGTACCACAGACGTGGTATTTGTTCTCAGACAACCGCAAGAGAAGTGTAGGGAACAGAGCAAAGGTCTCTACATAACCTTTGTCAACCTCACCAAGGCTTTCGATACTGTGAGCAGAAAAGGTCTATGGCAGATTTTGGAATGCCTAGGTTGTCCCCCCAAGTTCCTTAAAATGATCATCTCACTCCATGAGGATCAGCAAGGCCAAGTCAGATATGGCAACACACTTTCTGAGCCCTTTCTAATAACGAATGGTGTGAAACAAGGCTGCGTTCTTGCACCAACCCTATTCACAATCTTTTTCAGCGTGATGCTCCAAAGGGCCATGGCAGACCCCGATGATCAAGATGGTATCTACATTTGATATCATACTGATGGAAGTCTATTCAACCTAAGGCGACTGAAGGCCCACACTAAGACCTTAAACCATCTTGTCTGGGAGCTGCTCTACGCTGATGCCGCCGCCCTTGTTGCCCACACAGAAGCAGCCCTGTGGCGTTTAACATCCTGCTTTGCAGACGCTGCTGAGCTCTTTGGGCTGGAAGTCAGTTTAAAGAAGACAGAAGTTCTCCATCAACCTGCACCTCAGGAAGTCTTCCATCAACCCCATATCACCATTGGCGAATCAGAGCTCAAATCAGTCCAGCAATTTAATTACCTAGGTAGCCTCATCTCCTCAGATAGTAAGATTGACGGGGAGATAGACAACAGGTTAGCAAAGGCATATAGAGCTTTCAGAAAACTCCATAAAAGAGTTTGGCGAAATAAACACTTGAAGAAAAGTACAAAGATCAGTGTTTACAGAGCCATAGTGCTGTCTATTCTCTTATATGGATCCAAATCATGGGTCATTTACCGCTACCACCTGCGACTCCTTAGAACACTTCCATCAACACTGTCTCCATACAATCCTAAACATCCACTGGTCAGATTATGTGACTAATACATCTTTTCTAGAACAGGCAGCAATCACAAGTATTGAGGCCATGTTGCTGAGAACACAGCTGTGTTGGGCAGGACACGTCTCCAGGATGAAGGACCACCGCCTCCCTAAGATCATGCTTTATGGTGAACTTGCCACTGGCTGCCGCAAGAGAGGAGCCCCAAAGAGGAGATACAAGGACTCCCTGAAACAACATCTCAGCCTTGGCCATATTGATCAACATAACTGGTCTACTCTGGCCTCCAATCAGGAGGTCTGGAGACACACTATCTATAACGCTGCTGATGCTTTTGAGAAAGCTCGCAGGATCACTCTTGAGGAGAAAAGACAATGCAGAACGAATCCTGCCTTGCAGAATATTCCACCTGAGTCCTTCTGCTGTGCCTTTTGCAACCGGACGTGTCTATCTTGCGTTTGCCTTTTTAGCCACCAGCGCACTTGTAACAAACGTGGGTAGAGCCCTTCCCAAATCTTCGTTCATGAAGCTTAGCCATGATAATGATGATGATGATGTAGGCAGGCCAACACCCCAGGAAGACCCTCATTGGTGCATGGCAGTTAGGAAAGACCTTCATGTGGAAATCCTTAAAAATTGCAGAGCCCGGATGAGAGCACGATTTCAGTGGTTTGGGAGGGACAGTGTTTGAGATCTGGGAAGAGTTTGTTAAACAACTCGCTAACACTGCTCTACTTTCAGTGACATCCTTTTCACATTCTGAAAAATCCTACTGTAAGAGGTGAACTCTCAGTCTCTTTAGCGTAAAGAATAACTTTGATTTTTACAGCTTCTACCTTTTTCATTTTGAACTCTGACTTCAGCCCTTGGCAAAGAGAAAATAAGTGTTACTTGGTGCTTCATGAAGAATACAAAACTATAAGAATTTTTATTAAGTGATAAAACACAGATATTGCAAGAATCATTGAGGTATCACAGGAAAAATAAGGATTGTAGGGGATTCATATTCTATATTTCCACACTGGCAGTTTATAGCACCTGGGCAGTCTGGATTGCCCTCAGCATTGACTGCAAACCCGTAAGTTCCTCTAAAGACTTATAAAATGGCAAAACCAGATACACCAAAGTACAAGCAGGCATCTTAGAGACTATGTGGCCATGAAAAAGGTTAACAAGATATTTCCAAAATTTCAATAATTTCCAATGAGAGCCATGGCAGACTCACACACACAAAGTGCCCTTCAAGGCCAGAGTTTGCACAGGCAGAGTACATTTATTTCACATTACATACTGGGAAGTTCTCATTAGTGGCTGACAGCTGATAGAGGGTGCCTGTTGATTATCAAGACTTCCGTGTTCAGGCTCAGGATGATGCAAGGAGACATGGAGATTGCTTTTAACCATGCTTCTAAAGCCCCCACATAGATAAGATTTAGTTAGAATGCAAATTTACTGCCTATATCCACATATGGAAGACCCAAATGAAGCACCTACATCTCAAATATTCAACCTGTGCCTGTTGTACAGTGGTGATAGGGATTAAGGGTAGGTGAGCTTATACATTTCTTGTGACTGCTGAATTGTTGGCTTGTAGTCTTTGAGAAGCGGCCACTTGAAAAAGATACCAAAAATGATCCCACAGCTTCACAAATGGTCCAGGTACAGGCTGGAATATGTGTGTAGTACCTCAATTTCTATCAATTTCTGAATTCAAAGTGGGAGTAGGTGAGTTTTACAAATGGCCACAGGGAGAATATGTAGAAAATCTCAAGTAATTATGCTATTTTAGTGCCTATAATTACATTATCTACTAGCTAAAAGTCCATGTATCTGAATTCTAATAACCATCTTTTTCTCTGTACTTGCAATGATTTTTCTGCCAACAATAAATATGTGTTACAAGCCAAGGACAACACTATCTGTAACAAGAATTATGTGGTTCATAGATGGGTATCTCTACCAAACTTAAGCACTTTGAATGAGCTGATCCATTCTTGTATAAATCCTGTGTAATAATCAGGGCAGAAACAAAAAACCCACAGTTAAATTAGTATAAGAAGGATAACTAACAATAGAAGAAATCCCATTTTTTCTCATAAAATTAAACACCAGAGTATATCCTGGTTAAGTACAGAATAATTACATTCTTTAAATGAAACAATATTTGGCTCACAGCTAGTTCAATGTTTCTCCTCTTAAGAGAGAAGACACATCGGCTAAGTACTTGGATTCTACACCTACACATTTGTATATATGACTAGGCTTTAATTTTTATTTATATTTATTTATATTTATTCTGAATATGTGGTTTTTAATACCTTATCTGTAGTTTACTGCATCATCTGTGAGGAGCCATCTGAATCATAAGCCACTCTTCTTCACCAATTCCAATTTCCAGGAAGCTCCATGAAATATAACTTATTTTTTCTAACAGTATTTTCATTTTAGCTCTTTTCTTGTTGTTGTAGACCTTTGACTTGGTAAAAGCAAGCACAGAGGTGTTTTTTGTGCTGGAGAAGGAAGGAGGAGAGAGTCAAATGAAAAATCCTAAATAACAACACCTCCAAGTACCACAGCAGTACCTTCTAAAGCTGAGAGATAAAGCTGATGAGGAGGTTACCATGACTACAGAGGCGGCATATTTGAATGAAAATGGATGTTAAGCTTTTAAATGCTAATTGCAGTTGGGAACAGGTGACATTTGAAACATCAAAATTATTTCACACTTTGCAACGTATAACAACTGAAACAGGGTGGAAAAGATGACAACATAGAGTTAAATTAAAACACTGGTGCTGGTTTCAGCTGGGAGGGAGCTCATTTTCTTCATAGTAGACAGTATGAGGTTATATTTTGGATTTGCGCTGGAAGCAGTGTTTG